TGATGATCTAAACCTCATAGAGTAAATAAAGTAGGTGTTAATTCCACATTTTTTTAATATAAATTTCGATTTGTTTCTGACATGAAGATTCAGAGATAAGAGAGTTACAGAGATCGTTTAACACCTATAATATGCGATATTTTCCATAGCATGTTCTATTGTGTATACTGTACACGACCAATCAGCAAACATCTGTTTTCAGGGATATTTAAGGATCCTTTGAATAGGAAATGCAAATCTTTAAAAATAGACAATATTCATAAACGTTATGTTGTATTTTTAAAATTGGAGTATTTCTTTAAAAGAGTTGTACCTATTGTAAAAATGCACCGTATGAAAACATAATCAATTATACAATATTCATATTCGTATATTTATATTTGTATGTATATATTGTATATTGTACATGTATCTATAATCCATGGACATTATTAATCACAGCAACTATAGAATATAATAGATATAATAGATTCAGCTGATTGATTTTACGAATATATAATCTTTCTGCATAATAACTTGATTTACAGATGATATCTCAAAATACTGGATTCGATCTATATACCTAGTACAGGGTGGCCCAATAAATTAAACAATGAAAAGACGACTTTTAATAATGTTTTTTGATATTTGAGAGCTATTCAAAGACAAAGTGCGTATTAAAAAAAATGTTACACGACGTTGCAAATTTAAAAAAAATATCATACCCCCTTTTGTATCTTAAAATATGACAAAAAAAAAAATTTTTTTTTTTTTTGGATGAAAAGGCAGACCAATTGTTGTTAATTCCAGGCCTAAGGGTATTTTTTATTATTGTTTAAAGAATCATTCTCGTGTACTGAAAGGGGATGTTCTCCCCTGAAAAGTGAAAAGAAGTTTACAGTAATATTTTCTCTCTTTCACCTAAACAGTCGCCCCCTTACCCTCTCTCTTTATAAGATAGTTATATGCATTATGTAGTCGTGGGGACAAGTCTTCTCACAACCCCCTGAAAGGGGCGGGGGGAAACATGAGACCATATTAGGGGAGGGGGGAGAGAATATAGAGGACTAAGGACATTTCCAATTTTCATTCCAAGAGGACATTTCCCAATTTAATTCCATGAGGTCATTTCCCAATTTCGTTAAAAGTAGACATTTACTAATTTTATTCGATGAGGACATTTCCCAATTTCATTCCAAGAGAACATTTCCCAATTTCATTCCATGAGGTCATTTCCAAATTTCGTTAAAAATAGACATTCACTAATTTTATTCGATGAGGACATTTTCCAATTTCATTCCACAAGGACAATTTCCAACCTGTGAGAATCATATCGACGTTTCTGTAGGGTAAGCTGTTAATTTACGTTATAAGTCCCTTTAAGGTAATCCTACTCAAATACTCTGGTAGGTCCAACTTGTAGATAAATATAGATAAATTTTGGATTTTCCCTAACTTTGAAATAGCAACAAGTTTGTTAATGTATCATAAAGTTTCTTAATATTTAAAGTAATGTAAACGTGGATTGAAATTGGTGGGGGGGGGGGGGCTTTGGGTGCATTTTTAAGCCCGGTCTTTGATTTTATCTCACTAACTAATTTATAGATATATTTTAGGTGGACATTTTCATTTTATGGAGCACTTCTTATAGTTTTAGTTTTCGAAAAGAAATTGGCAAAATTCTCATTGATTTTTGCTTGATAGCTTGCAACTTGTATGCACATTCTAAGAATTATACATATAAATAGTTTTATTGATATAAACTGCATGTAGAGTGCCGATGTATGCCGACATTTTTCCTCTTAATCTGTTGTATTGGTAAAGTGGAAACCTTTCCTCTGAGTTACCACAAAAAATATGCCTGATCGTTTCAGCCGTTTTGACTCATCTTGGATTCCTTGGATACAAACAAATATAACACACAAGGTAATCCTAATGTGTATTTAGAACCCAGCTTTATCTTTATAAGAGTCAACCTATTCAACTAAGAACTTTTTAAAGAAGCTAAACACATTCCCATGGTTCCACAGAATTCCCCAATTAAAATTTGAGGCAACTCGAATAAGGGGTTCCTGAGTTATGATCAGACAGCGAACAAACAAACAGAGAAAACTACTTTAAACATAAACTAGCTTGGGATCCCAGCGTACATAGGTACATACCCGCACAAAACTACTTTAAACATATACTAGCTTGGGAACCCAGCGTACATAGGTACATACCCGCACAAAACTATAGAACTGGTTGCAAGAAATCCAGGGTTACCCACAAAAGATGATAATTTAATGACGACCTAAAAGTCTTGAAATGTGAAGATTAAACTCGCCATGAACGTTTTCTTTTTTTGATCAAACTTGCAATGGTCGGCGTTTATTTATACATCTAAATAAGACAACTTTTCTGTTTAAGTTTTAATTAACATTAACAAATATGAGCTTAAAACTGAGAATGAGATATCCTTAATCCCGATTACTTAATCTGAGTATCCAATGGACACACTTTTGATTTTCTTCTTAAACCGTTCTTTCTTGGATATAGTAGAAAAAAATCAAAACCTGGTTTTTCTAAATTAGAGAGTTCCTCCCATTTCTGTATTTAATCTAATATGGCGCACAAAATTTCAAATTTATCGGCTTCATATACGCGACTCTGATTGGTTAAATTTTATACACTTTTCAGGATACAAGATTAGATTAGTCTTGATATTGTGAAAAAGAGAGGATCAAGCATGATTCGCGATATCCACCATTCTAAAGTTTTCAGCTCTGGAAATCTAAAAAAAATAAAATTGCAGCTGCGGGGATTAGTGAATATAAGAAAAATGAAAGATCTAAAACATTCTGTAAGTCGTCTTCAAAGTGTCATCCTTAGTTGATAACCCTGTATATTCTAGGTAGGTATAGGACAGGTTGCAGGATAACATAAATCTGATATATTTGATTTTTGTAATTCCCAGGGATACCAGGACACAAGGGTAAAATATAGACAAACTAGATAGGTAGATAGGTAGATAGATAGATAGATAGATAGATAGATAGATAGATAGATAGATAGATAGATAGATAGATAGATAGATAGATAGATAGATAGATAGATAGATAGATGAAATTTTTTAAACAGTCCTTTAGAATATAGCCTTGTTCAGATTATAATATATTGTTAAAATACAGGGCGTCCCACTTTTTGAAGTTTATTTAGTTGAAAAACTCAAATATAGATATATTACTTTTAAATCAATTTTACCATAAGATGATAATATTTATAATATATAGAAATTATATTCTATTTATCAAGTGTCATGTTTCGTGGGACACCCTGTAGCAAAAAAGATATTCCCTGTTAAACAGCTTAAACTGCTGATTTTACAGTTTTTATTCTCATCTTTCAGCAAACTTTCCACTGGTCATTTTTCAACAAATATCTTTTATTTTTCACTCGCATACAGTAATAACCAGGACAATTTGGAATAAAAAGACTACATTAAAGTTATACTTAAGTAACTTTAAATCACTTATAAAGAGAAATGGGTCTGTTTACACTGCACAATTGCTGTGTCTCATGTTCATTGAACTGCAGGGTGTCCAACATTCTGTAAGGTTAATATAAAATTTTGTATCCTAGAAAATAATAGGTTTTTCGAGTATAATGTGTGTATTTTGGCAATAAAGCTTGAAGACAATCCAATAGGATATTGGACGCTCTGCATATAAAGTCATAAATTGAGTCTAAAAGTCGGCTTCCTATTTAAAAGTTTTCTTGTTCTTACTGTTATGTAAGGATAAATTTATGGTTTGTTTAACAGAGTGTTTGTGTCCAATAGCGTAAAAACGGCTGAACCGATCGGGTCCAAATTTTTTGTACTATCTCACATGACCACAGAGAAGGTTTTTGGCTGGTCGGAGTAAACCAATATTGCATTGAATGAAATTCGCAAACGAAAACGAAAAAGCCCTCAAAATCTTACAGTGTTGTTTTACTTAATTTTCCAAGAAAAGGTAGCAGTACAGGCAGTACAGGCAGTACATTTAAAGCTTTAATTGTGAAAGGAAAGAAGGATTTGAAGGAAGGCTTGATAAAAAGTAAAATAAGTGAATTTGTAAAACTGTTCTAATTGTGGTGGATGATGTGGTGAATGATGTGGTGGATGATGTGGTGAATGATGTGGTGGATGATGTGGTGGATGATGTGGTGGATGATGTGGTGGATGATGTGGGGGAAACCTTGAATGTAAGTTTCTTATTGTCCAAGATAATACTTGTTAGAACTTTTTATTGATGTTCGATAAATCTAACGGGACAAGAGAAGGGCGGAGGGGGAGAGGGAGGTGGAGGGAGTGAAAGGGAAATGTGGGAAATCTGCAGGGGGAGGGGGGGGGGAAAGGGCAAGAGAAGCTAATAAGTGAGTATTAAAAAAGAAAACGTGCTTTTTTATTTTTTTAAACATTGAGCGTCTGAATGAAAAACAGTATTTAAAAATACGGGAGATTCATATCATATTTATTTTTTAAACTGCACAATAAAGGAGAGATTGGTTTGAATTAACGAGGTCATAAAGATATAAAGATTTTAAAAGATTTTCCTATAAGCGTAGTATTTAAAAAAATAAGAGACTTAAATCTAGAATGAAATTTATGAATTTTTTCCAAATCAAAAGTTGATTCTAAATTGTAAAGATTGATAAAAGAATCCGTCATATTGTGTTTCTGTGGCACACTCGAGTGTTATAGTGTACACACTTGAAGAATTTGTACTTCTCCAAACTTTTTATCCGTGGATTTCCTCCAGGCCCAGAGGGGAAATTAAAAGTTTGCAAAATACAATTCAGATTCTTTTTCTTTTCTTTTTACTTTTAAAGCGCTGCTAATGCCGTAAGTAAGTAAACTTTAGATTGCGCCTCTAATTGTAATTCCTAAGGAGAGCTGGATCAGAAACATTTATATTTCTTCGCGGTCTCTGATTTTGATCTTCATGCATTGAAATCTCCACCTGTACCAATAGTAGACTGCCAAGAGTATACCTGGAATTCTATCTATCTATCTTCAAGACATACACAATAAGTTTAGTATATAAGCAACTATAGACAGTGATCAAAATGGAAACAGAACAGAAATAAAAACAATAATGTTTCTCCTTATTTTCCTCTTTGGGTTTACATTGGCCGGATTGACAGATTATGATATGGGTGTTATGGAAAACGAACCCCTTCTCAGAACCTTGTATGAAGAGAATCTAAACTTTATGAAGAGTTTTAAAGAAATCTATGAAAAATATCCTGTTACAGAGATCGAGTTTTTTCTGAAGGTTACCGAAGAGTCTAATAAGAGTGTAGAAGAATATGTGAGACATCCTCTGAATTCATTTAATCTTCTGAAAAAAGCTGCAGTTTTTATTCCTGCATTGTCTAACACCTTGTCATCTTTAAAAACTAAGAACTCAACAGAAATGCTGAAGTTATTGCGAATCCTCTTCCAGGAAACTGAAGTTCTCAAAACCATCACTGAGAAAGATATGTATGGAGCTGCTAAAGCACTTATTTTCATAGTTCATGCTTATGATCTGGATACAGAGAAGTTTAGAAAGGGTCTGATAGATACAACTGATGTTAAGTACTATGCACATGGAGCAAAACATCAAGGAGATTCCGCGCTTACCTCTCAAGATCTTAAAGTTCTAGCAACAATGTCCCAAAAACTAGGTTTGATAAACACCGGGATAAAGTTTATGAGAAGTGCATATAAAGCGCAGGAAGAGAGTGAAGACACAGAACAAATAGATGTTGGTGTCAAAGATCAGTTTGAGAAGGCAAAACAAGATCTTATTAAGCTGAACAACGACTTTGTGACAAATAAAAAGACCTTTATCAATGATTTGGTTGTAGTAAATAAATATCTTGTGGATGAGAAGCTGGAGAAAAAGAAAACTCAGCCCAAGTTTATCAAGTCTGGAGCTATAGACAAGGTTGATATCAGTTTAGCTACGTCTTTTGGAGGAGACTTCTTTCGTATGGAAGCACTTCTTCAGGGTTGTAGAAATGAGTTTAATCTGCTCCCTAGTAAAATAAAATGGCCTCTTATCAGCAAATGTCGTCTTCTGCATCAAGATGATCCATATCTGAAGCTGGGACCTTTCAAAATGGAGGTTGCTAGTAATACTCCTTTCATAATGGTGGTTCATGAACTACTCACTGATGAGGATACAGAATATCTTGTCAATTGGGCGACACCTAAACTATCCAGGTCAAGAAACCTGGATTATTCTAAAGGCGCATATGATAAAGATTCATTTAAGGGTAAGGTTCGAAATATTGTTAAATCTGTCCAAGCTTGGATGGAAGCTGTATCCTATCATGAACCTGATGATATGTACAATCCAGATAACTTTACTGTAAACCACCCTAGAGTTCATAAACTGTCTGCTCGTATGGAGCTAGCTTTCAATCTGAACCTTACAAGACAGTGGAGTTCGAACTTGTATCAAGTAACAAACTATGGTTTAGGGGGATTATGTGAATCCCACATGGACGCTCAGTCATTTTTTGAAAATATGGCTTCAGATCCAGCGAAATACATTAACCGGGGGGACTACATTGCAACAATAATGGCCTGGTTAACAGATACCCCTGCAGGAGGCGGAACCAGTTTCTACAAACCACCCTCCTCGGTAACTGTACATCCTACGAAAGGTAGCGCGGCATTCTGGTGGGATCTTACGCATCAGAACCGTAGAGATCAAGGAACTAAACATGGCGGCTGCCCAGTAGCTGTCGGATCTAAATGGATTCTGAACAAGTGGGTTTTCAGTTACAATCAATGGGATAAGGTTCCCTGCAGACTTGAGAAAGGAAATACGAATATAAACATGTACAGTCCCGCTGATACTATTGGACCTTTCTCAGATAATAAAATGTTTTAAAATTCTTTAATGTTTGGTTTGCCTTTTGAGCAGCTGACGCACATTGAAGAGAATGCTTTAGATCATTTGATATTAACACTCCAATATCTTTTTCACAATTAGTTACTTCAAGAATCTGACCACCTAGAGCATGACCTCCCATGGTGTAGCTGAACTGTTTATTCTTTTTACCTAGATGCAAGACTTTGCACTTTGATGCATTAAACTCCATTTGCCACTCTTTATAAACTGAAAACTTTTAAAATCAATTCTAATGTGCCTTGAGAGCTGGAACCTCCCAACCCTCCCTTTAATTAAGGTTTTGAATATAAAATTTACCCGTAAACCTGAAGAAAAATTATTCTGTAAGGACAGAGTAACCAAATAGGTAACCGCCAAAAAAGTTTTCGGAAATAAAGTCCTAAATTTTGGCACTAAAAAAGTCCTGTGGAAAAAAGTCCTGTGGAAAAAAGTCACTTGAAAAAAAGTCTCTAGGAATAAATTCCTACCATTTGAGATTTTATACAAAACATCCCCGGAAAAAAGTCCAATTGTAGTAGAAAATGCATGGAAACAAAGGATGTTTAAAACCATGCAAAAACACCCCTGGCTATATTGAAAAACAGATGCATAGAAAAAAGTCTTTCTTTATGAAAACGTCTCAGACTTGACCTCATTTTCACAAGTGTTTTTTCTTGGTTTTTTTCTTCGGATATATTTTCTCCAGGACTTTATTTCCTGTGATCTTATTTCCTGCGACTTCATTGGCAGCCCCCATATTATTTTAGGAAAAAAGTCCCAGGAGTTACAAACTCAGGATTTTATTTCCAGTGATTTGAAAAAATTGGGATTTTTTTACCAAAGTTTTTATTTTCTAGAAACTTTTTTTCCGGTGACTTTCTTACATAGATTCACAAAACAGTATTCCCCAATAAACACTTACTAAATGTATTTACAACATTGGTTTGTATTTATTTAGAGAAACATTATATACTTATCCCCCCGCCCCCCC